ACCGCGGGGAAAAGCCTAAAAAAAAAGAAAACTAATGCAACCACCACATCTAATGATTGGTAAGCTGTAATATAGTACATTTTTGGGTAGGGGTTTTATAATGCTTTCATTTAATGTACCTATAAAGGACTTTGCTCAGGTCTTCACAACTTCTATATTTCGCAATAATGTGAAGTTGGGGAACTGGGTAATCCAGGCACTGTGAGGCAGCCTTTGAATTAAAAACATCTGTTACTTCATGCTGACACATCTGTTTACCAAAAAAAATAGTGGTAAGGGGAATTTATTTACAATTAAGCATGTTTGTGTCTGCACTGTATCTGCAGACCAAAACTAAAAACAAAGATGTCATTGCTCCATACACAAATTTGGCTGACCGTTTTCAGTGCAAGTGGTCACAAATGGTGATTATAATATTGAAATGGACTCAAGTGATTTAAAGTGATAGTAAACACCGCTTGTTCACTTATACCTACAGGTAAACTTATAACGAAAGCTTACCTGTATGTAAAAGGAATATCTCCTAAACCTGCACTGTTTACTACTGCTGCAGCCTTTGACGTCATCGGAGCATGCGCACTGCACTCTGAAGGGACAGTAAGCTGTTCCTTCAGAGTGCTGTGCTGTGGTCGTGGCTCTTGTGCCCATGTCTGCGAGTGACACCATTGCGGTTTGGCCCTTCAAACAGCCGGAACCCGCAAACCCGGAAGGAAGAGCAGGTGAAGATGGAAGCCCTGTCAGTGGTGAGGTAAGTCTCTCATATCGTGTTAGTATCTGATGCATACTAGCACATTATGACATTAACTTGCACCCAACAAATAGATCACCCAAAAAATAGATCTCTCATTGCTGAAAAAAGGTATTCCCTTCATGAGTTTAGCAAAGACCTGCCTATCTCCTCCCATCCCTTGAGACTCCAGAAAGCCAACTCTGGAAAGCAAGTTGGACAAAAAGGAACCCCTGATGTAGTCCTTGTATTGGTCTGCAGGAAAGCTGCTCTCTATATTGTACATTTAAGACTGCAGACAGGCTGATTGCAAACAGAGGTTATACTGCTCTGGTTTGTGATGGAGTATGTTTCTCTTGTAGAAGTTTATTGTTGTAGAAAATTTGAACAAGGTGTTGTGTACTAAAAGAAAACTGATTCTTTGACAGCCATAATGGAGGTCATAAGCATATTCATTCAACACAATACAAGATCTCACAGTGCATTCTATACTTTTTGTTCTATATTAACCATTAAAAAAATTCAAAGATTCTAAATACATTGGAAAATATGACCACAGAATACTATTCACAGATATGGTCTTGCAAATCCATTCAAATAAAAACAGTCTGACATGTCTACCTGGAGAACAGGGAAAGTGGCTGTCAAGGCTCAAGGTTTTTTTTTACCTTAATGCATTCTATGCATGAAGGTAAAAAACCTTCTGTGTGAAGCAGTGACCCCAGCCCCCTCAATAATTATCTGAGCCCCTTCATGATCCAACGATGTGCACGACAGTCTCGGCTGTCCCGGGTCTCTAGCTCTTCATTGGCGGAAACAGCAAACTGGCGGAAACAGCAAACGGGAGCCAATGGCTCCTGCTGCTATCAATCACACAGCCAGTCAACCAATAAGGAGAGGGGGAAGGGCCAAACCGCAGCTCCGTGTGTGAATGGGTGCCCCCACAGCAAGCTGCTTGCTGTGGGAGCACTCGACAGGAGGGAGGGGCCAGGAGAGCCTGCGGGGGGAACCAAGAAGAGGAGGATCCAGGCTGCTCTGAGCAAAACCACTGCATACAGCAGGTAAGTATAGACATGTTATTTTCCAAAAACAAACAAAAAAAAAAATTACCTTTAGAATCACTTGAAATTCAGATTTTCACCAACAAACAGAACACTGGAATTTGTTATAATACACTGAATTAATTCTAAATCTGTTTAAATGGGCATTACAGAAATTTTGCACAGCACAGAGGGGTTGATTTACTAAATACCTAGAGACACTGAGCAAAATGAACACTTCCTGAGATTGGTAAATAAAGTTGTTTTAACTTTGCATTCCCAAATATAGACATGAAAAAAATGAAAAGAAAAACTGTAAATTAGTAAATAAACCTCAGTAAGGCACTGTTGACACCTATGCAACTTTGGACACAAAAAAATGCAGGAGGGGAGGAGTGAGGGTTTCAGAGGATAGCAGTACAATCGGGCATGGTTTTCTAGCCTACCCGAATGAAGTTCCTCCCAAAACCTAGTCCATGGTAGTGCTTAATTCAGCCTAAACATGTACTGCAATATGGGTGAACTAGAAATCCCTATTTTGCAATGCAAAGTTTGCTGGAAAGGGTAATTAGCAGTGTGTAGAGGGTTATTTCAGCATTTCCAGTGTTAACATGCAGTTATAACCCTTTAGCACCTGATAGATAAATGTATGTACAAGCTATTGGGATTTGAGCACAGGTATATCTCGTTTGTTTGATTCAGGAAAATGTCATGTTATTCGTACGAGTTGCCATTGCTGACCCCCTTCTGAAAATGCTAGTTTTCTGGATGGTATGCAGAAACTCCAGCTTTTGTGTATCTGGACTCCCCTACTCAGAATGAGTATAAAATTTAGGAAAGTCAAAGAATAGTCAACATTCCTTATCTGCATACTTGTTCCAAGTCAGTAACATAACCTACTGAAACAAGAGAGTCAGTACAAAAGCTTGGAAGCCAACAGCAGAGGTCAGTAATGGCAGCTTCCATATTTTATATGATGGCTTTTTTTTTTACTGTATTATCTAAATCCAAAAGTTTTGTTATTTTGTATCATGTACAGTTATTTGCCATCTGTGTCACATGAAGGATATTTCTTGTCAGGCCTATCCTACAGACACAACAGGAAGTGAAAGGAAATCTCTTCAAAGTCTGGGTAATCCCCTAAGGCACTTGTCACTGGAACAAGCATCCCCATTAGAAGATTTCCCCGTGGTGACAACTCAAAATTTTGGATTGTTTTTCACTTTCAAACCCTGTGACCATAAATCTCTCTAGCAAAAACACAAACTGCAGTAAAATCTGACAGGGATTCTACCCCACACATCTAAAACTGAAATATAAACTTTTGCCTTTGGATATGGCTCATTGATCTGGCAGATATTATTTCTAACCAGGAAAAAAAAAAAAAACTTCTGTACAGTCACTAGGGACAGGCTTATCACTAAAACAGCAAAAAGATTAATAAAGATAATAGCTGCTTCCTTTTAGCTACAAGTTAAAAGCTAACTCCAGCTTTAGCAATATGTTACATTCATATTTAGGGTTTGACAAGTAACATGTTGCTAATTAATCCCCAATTTCTTAGAAATGCAAGTTATGGCGTTTAATGGTAATGTATTTAAAATGCACATAAAACACATCTAAAATGCATTACACAGGTGTTAACTGGGCCTAACTGTGAAGGTTCCAGGAGCTGAACACCTTGACCTTCATAATTTGACAGCAGAACTGTCAAAGATGTTTTGAAAGTACCTCTTTGCTATGCCCCTTACTGGCCGAGCTGGTCTACTACACTCCATACAAGTACTTTTGTAGCTTCATGTAATAATAATAATAATAAACAGAGGCACAAAAACCATCACTGGTCATTAAAGGGTTAACTACATGTAAATCCAGAACCTTTTGTTCTCACTGGAGATTTCCTTCAATCCCTTATTGCATGACAATTGTAACAGTTTAGAATTTGGACAACAGTCATCAGTACAGTTAAAGAGGGCCTATACCCCTAGCAGAGACACAAAAAGTAATTTAAAAAAAGTAATTAAAGCCTGACATGGGTTATAACCCTTCCTTACTCCAACCAAAAAAAAAAAAATCTGGTTTTAGATGCACTTCAATACTATACTGTAATGCTGCAGTACAGCACTCAGACTGAGGAAGAACTGAGATATTTAGTGATTAAAAACACGTCAGCCATTATATTTGGCATCTAAGGAATAATTGCAGACATCTTCAGGATGTGATTATTTATTACTCCCTTGAGATGCCAAACATGTGCAGAGCATAAACAGAGAAACATATCACTCGTCAATGCCATGGTGAAATGAGGACAAATGTGTACCATAACCAATATTGGATTGACTTCATCCCTCAAAATCCAGTAACAAATGTTTAACCACTTCTACCTGCATCCATCTATGGATCAGGGAACACCCAGTAACACATGTTTAACCACTTCTACCTGCATCCATCTATGGATCAGAGCAATGTTTACATTTCTGCTCTGGGTCTAGTTGATTTGGAAATAACTGTTATTGATGACCCATATACAATAAGTAGCAAGTCAGCATTCTTATCAACAATCACTGTGAATGGGTGCTAATAGAACAGACTTGTCTGGAACTGCAGCTATTAGTAAGGAAGGCATTTTGGAGTCTGCACATAGGCAGCGTGTGCAATCTGCTGAACAGGACAGGAGAAAGAAGGTTGTACACTCTCGGAAACGCAGTCTGATGAGTCAGCAATGAGGAAGCTTGCTTTAACATTGATTGTGCAACATTCCTGATATATATATATATAATATTTTTTTTTTTTTTATTTGCACACTGTCTGTATCCTCAATTGCAGACTATGTGCGTTTGGGGACCCGCACTGATGTCAAATCAGGAGCAGCGGCTATGCATAGTGACAGCTACTGAGTCCCACCTTTTTGAGTGATGCACTTCTGGTCCGCCCAGATCCCTTTGCACTGCAGGCATTGATTGTGCATTCCAGCGGCTCATGCCTGGGTCGTGGAAGCCGGGGGATCAGTACATTTTATACATGCATAGTGATAATATCTGGTGTGATAGATAGCACGAAGCATGGAATTTGCAGACCCCAGGAGGGATGTATCACATCCTTATGTCTCGAACCGTGTGTGTATATGAATATATATATATATATTTAAATCATCACACACATTATATTGCCAAAAGTATTGGGACACCCCTCCATATCATTGGATTCAGGTGTATAAAATCAAGCACCTAGACATGCAGAATGCTTCTAAAAACATTTGTGAAAGAATGGGTCGCTCTCAGGAGCTCAGTGAATTCAAGTGTGGTACCATGATAGGTTGCCACCTGTGCAATAAGTCCATCTGTGAAATTTCCTGGCTACTAAATATTCCACGGTCAACTGTTAGTGGTACTATAATAAAGTGGAAGCAACTGGGAACAACAACTCAGCCAAGAAGTGGTAAGCCACATAAAATGACAGAACGAGGTCAGCACATGCTGAAGCACACAGAGCGCAGAAGCCACCAACTGTCTGCAGAGTCAATAGCTAAACACCTCCAAACTTCATGTGTCCTTCAGATTAGCACAACAGCAGTGCATAGAGAGCTTCATGGAATGGGTTTCCATGGCTGAGCAGGTAAAACGTATTGAACGTCACAATTTTTCTCAGTAAATATATTTCTGAAGGTGCTATTGACATGAGGTAACAACCAATGCAATCCATACATACAAAGAAACCTAAACAAATAGGTTCAGAAATTAAGTTACGTGTAGTAAATGGAATGACAGGGAAAAAGTATTGAACAAACGAAGAAAGGGAGGTGCAAAAAAAACATGGAAAGCTAAGACACCAGCTGAAATCTATCAGTAATTAGAAAGCAAGCAGCCTCCTGCCCCTTGTCAGTGCAAATTAATATCAGCTGGTTCAGTCTCTTTATAGGCTCTGATAGCCTATACAAAGGTGTCTCATTGCCAAGGTGGGTAAAAGCAAAAAGCTCTCTCAAGACGTTCGCAACCTTATTGTTGCAAAACAAACTGATGGCATTGGTTACAGAAGGATTTCTAAACTTCTCAATGTTCCAGTGAGCACTCTTGGGGCCATAATCCAGAAGTGGAAAGAAAATCATTTCACCACAAACTGAACATGACCAGGTGCTCCTTGCAATATTTCTGACAGAGAAGTGAAAAGAATTATCAGACTGCATTCAACCGCCATAGCCTGTATGCACACACCGCCACGCAAGACTCCATTGCTGAAGAAAAAGCATGTTGAAGCTTGTTTAAAGTTTGCTGCACAACATTTAGACAAGCCTTTGAAATACTGGAAGAATATAGTCCAGTCAGATGAGACCAAAATTGAACTTTTTGGATGCCATAATACACACCATGCTTGGAGGTCAAATGGCACTACACATCACCCCAAAAACACCATACCAACAGTGACGTTTGGCGGTGAGAACATCATGGTGTGGGGCTGCTTTGCAGCCTACAGTACTGGGAAACTTCATGTCATTGAAGGAAGGATGAATGGAAAAATGTACCAAGACATTCTTGATAAAAATCTGCTGCCATCTACCAGGATGATGAAGATGAAACGAGGATGGACATTTCAGCAAAACGATCCCAAACACAAAGCCAAGTAAACTCTCAAAGAAAGTTTCAAAGAAAGAAAATAAAGCTGCTAGAATGGCCCAGATTGGAATCCAATAGAAAATCTATGGAAAAAAACTAAAGATCAGAGTTCATAGAAGAGGCCCAAGGAACCTTCAAGATTTGAAGACTGTATGTGTTGAAGAATGGGCAAAAATCACACCTGAGCAATGCGCGCGACTAGTTTCTCCATACAGGAGGCATCTTGAAGCGGTTATGATCAACAAAAGATTTTGTACGAAGTATTAAATAAATTTAATTTAGCATGTTCACTACTTTTTCCCTGTCATTCCATTTTATTACACAAAACTTAATTTTCGAACGTATTTGTTTTGGTTTCTTTGTATGTATGGATTGCATAGGTAGTTACTGACAAGTGGTGAAAATTTCATGTCAGTCGCACCTTTAGAAATATATTTACTGAGAAAAATGGTGACATGTTCAATACTTATTTTACCGTGTGTATTTATTTTTTCTGTACAGTGGAGGTGCCATTCATTACGTGTACTTAATGGGAAGCTGTGTTGTTTTAGATTCATTTTTCACATTATTTTTTATGTTGTTTTGATCATGGCTATTGGTCATACAAAGGACTACTTTTTGACAGCTGACCTAATAGCTGATTTATAGTGTTCCAGGCCCTGCCCACTGACTCGTCTTGGAGGAGGGAGGACTTCCTTAGATCTGGGACCTTTTAAATCGTGACTTGGTACGAGGTTGGTTTAGCTCTGAGGAAGGGGGCCAGTCCCAGAAAATGTGTCAGCCTTCCAACCACATGGTCCAAGGATGGTTCACACCAACGGCTGAATCATGTGTGTTACATGCCTGATGTTTTTACATGCTTGTGAGTATCCATTTGACTTGGTTGATTTAATAAATTTGTTTACAATAATGTACAAGGAGATTGCGCCATCCTGTGTGTTTTTTTTTTACCTGCCATTTAATGGTTTGACAGTTTGGTTGAGAACACAAGCAAATGTGACAGTTAGCATTCCCAGCATGCCTGGAATGTACTGTTTTTAGAAACCGTTAAAATCAATGGGTTTAGTTCCGCTTTAACTACACATGTGTGAACAAGGCATAATCGTTAATGGTGAAGGGAGGGAAGGGAGTTAAAAAAATATGAAAACTCAACATTTCATATTCCTGATAAGTGCCTGCTGTACCATGCACTTGAATGAAAAGTATCTTGTTCTCTTTGTATTGGTTTCTTTGTGTGAAATCCCTGGTATTCCTGCCAGTCCGTCTGCTTTCCTATTAAAACGGACCATACTAGGCAGGAGAACATATTGTGGTCAGTTCTCCAGCTGTGCTGGAAACTATGTATGCTCTCCAATTAATTTTTTTCTTTTTGTCAGGTTCATTTAACTGACTTGTACAGATTGAAGTACATCCTTTTGATAGGCAGATGAATGAGACAGAGATAATGCAAAAGTAACAATGTTACTTTGTACAGTATCTCTCTGTCTCACATTTGAACAGTGATAAATACTGCATCAGATGTTCTGTTGCTTGACAGCAGCAGCTATTACAGCTGCTGTATTTATACAGCAACTCCTGGCCCTCATTTTTACAGTTAATTGCTAGCTAGTGTAGTATGTCCAGTGTCCAGAATTGGTTAAAAGTGATCAAACTATGATGAAAAAAGGACAACTGGGCTTTGTACAAGATTTTTCTTTAGTAAGGCAAGTTCTGTGCATAAAGAAACAATTGTCTTAAAGGAGTTCTAAGGTCACAGCGATTTTGATAATCCAATAAAATCTTACTTGCAAAATCTCCTTTCATGTTGTGAGTTCTGCCTGTCTGCTGGCTACCTTTTCCCACAACTTCCTGGATTTGCAGCTTCTTCTCTGCCGTATACTTTTTAATTTTTAGGAACTATATATCCCTCCTGAAACTCCTCTTTTCAGCACTTCTGTAGTTCATAGGGCAGGCTCTGTAAATTCTGTGACACAGCAGTGCCTAGTCACAGGGCATAGTGAATATGTGTCAAAGGGTTTAAGGAAGTAAAAGTGTGGGGATCTTCACAATGAAAGTTTACAAACTACAAGATCGTTCATATTAATGGAAGTCAAATAGAAATAACTGGTTAATCAATACTGAAAATTCAGTTCTTAATGAAAAAAATAAATAAAAATAATACTACCTCCTGGTCTTTTTTCATATCAAGTGCAACAAGCTAGCTAAATGCAAACAGATTTAATAACTTTCAAAGAAATATAAATGTAGAGTAAAGGTATTCTAAGTTGTACTTTTTGAAACACATGCATCCACATGGAGAATGGAGGGTGACCAGTCAATTGCAGAATTCCAGTCTTACCTATGGATATACCACTGGAAAGAGTAGAGCTTTCTGCTTGCCCTCGGGAAGGTGTATGGGGCTCCATTACACTGTCATCTAATAAGTGCCGTGGTCCTGCATTTTGGAAACGTTGCACTTTTAAACTCTGCTGTATTCATTTTATGGATGAAGCTGTAAGGAGAAAAAAAAAGAAAAAACAGTCACAGTATATATGTTGATCTAGCCATATTCTTAATGTTATCTGCATTTGGCAAATGCTTACAGGGAAACAACAACTGTGCTCATCTTTCTGGCATTAGTACAAGGCAAATGTCAAATATTAATTTCCAATGTAACCAATAAGTGATCAGAATGCATGAAGGCATAAATACCACCATTATGTACATGAACTAAACTCCAAGAAGAAAAGCAGCTTACTTGTATCCCAAACTGTGGCATTTGCGGTGCCCATGAGGGATGAGATTACGAGGTGATGGTGGTGTTGGTGGTAATAACACACCTTCTACTGCAATACTTTTGCGAGAATTCTGAGGTGAAGCTCCTGTTTCAGAACCTGCAAGTCATTAGGTAACATTTAGCATCAGCGTAGTAAAACTTTAGAAAGACATTTTTAATATAGTTTAACATATTAACATAGGATACCGTTTTGTATGCAAAAAACAAGCCTACGCAATATATTAATTCTGCTCCACTATACAGCTACAACATATTGCTACAAAGGTTTACAGAAAACTATGAACCAATCACACCAGCCCCTCTCCCTACCTCGAGTAGCTGTCAATCTAAGGCTGGCAAAAGACTGCTTAAACTTTGGTCAATTCCAGCTAAATCTGCCAGAATTTGAGCCATGGGTGATCTTGCAAGTATCACTCAGCTCAACAAACGTTAATAAAAAGAACTGAGGAATAAGAATGAGGACTGAGCTGGGTGGATAATGATCGGCTGAACAGTGACCAGATGCAGCAAATGCAGGTGTATGTCTACCTTAATACCCAAGCACAACAGCCATACAGAGACACATAGAAGTCAGTCCACCTGCCAGTACATTTTGTTTCTTTTAATCATGGTGAACATACAAACTTTTTACAGATAGTTTATCTAGTGAGTATTGAACTTGGGACCACAGATTATTTATGCATTTCTGTGTGGCAGAAGTCAAGGAGATGTACCTGCTTAATATTTCTGCATTCGTGATAGATCTGTCTTTTTGCATACACATCAATTTGTAAATACTAGGAACATATTTACTAGAACTGGGCTGAGTACAGACACCTACAAATCCTCTGAATAGCAGCATTTTACAAAGTTAGGGATACATGGGTGACCGTTGGCTTTTGGTGTGATTATTCAAGGAGGAATGTTGTGTGGAGTCCAAGATTTGTTGATGAGAATGAGGGACAAATTGGATTATTCTAGGACACTGGTGAGGAAACCATACCATAATATTCTGCAGTACCACATTTGCTACAAGAATTATACAAAAGAATTCTTTATGTCTCATGCCACATTGATATCTGGCTGCATTATAAATTGGCCTGCCCCACAAAAAAAAAAAGCTTCTTCTGTTGGCAAGGGGCATGTTATTAGCATTCTATGCTGACCACAATTTTAAATGGGTATTATAAAACAAAGGGGAGAATTACAGCAAAATGATGGCAATATATATTTATATTAACTAGGA